TGTTTCTTCAATTTTGGGTAACGAGTCTCTGCATCGAGGAGAGCTTTTGACGTGTAGAATACCGGATGTTGGGCCCCCAGCTCTTCTCTGATGAGAGCTGAGTTGACAGCTGAGTTGGACACTGCCAAGTACACGAACAAGTCATCACCAGGGACTGGCTTTGAAAGCATGGGAGGTGAAGTAAGATAAGCCTTCAGACTCTGGAAAGCTACTTCGCACTCCTCATCCCATTTGTCTCTTTGTCCTTTCTTCAAAGCTTTGAAGAATGGTTTGCACTTGTCGGTTGATCTTGAGAGGAACCGGTTGAGGGCTGCTGCTCTGCCAGTCAGACTTTGTATTTCCTTCACTGTGGAAGGCGACTTCATCTCGAGAATAGCTTTGATCTGACGTGGGTGTGCCTCGATACCTCGTTGTGTGACTAAGTATCCCAAGAATCGGCCGGAGGATACACCAAATGTGCATTTACTTGGGTTCAACTTCATGCGATACTGGAGGAGCAAGCTGAATGCCTCAGTGACGTTTTGGGGCCTTGACCAGCATGTCGTCCACGTACACCTCCATAGTTTTGCCGATCTGCTCCTTGAAGATTTTGTTCACCAGCCTTTGGTAGGTTGCTCCGGCGTTCTTCAGCCCAAAAGGCATGACCTTGTAGCAGTAGGTCCCTCTCTCGATGATGAAAGAAGTTTTCGCCTTATCATCCGTGTGCATCAAGATTTGGTTATAGCCGGAGTAAGCGTCCATGAAGCTGAGCAGCTGATTGCCTGAAGTGGAATCCACGAGTTGGTCGAACCTCGGCAATGGGAAGTTGTCTTTTGGGCATGCTTTGTTGAGATCAGTGTAATCGACACAGACTCTCCACTTGCCCTTCTCTTGTTTCGCTACTAGAACCACGTTGGCAAGCCACTCTGAGTAGGAGACCTCCTCAATAAAGCCGGCAGCTAGAAGTTTGTCAATCTCGGCTTCGATGATAGCGACTCGCTCGGGTGCGAAGTTGCGTCTCTTTTGCGCCACTGGCTTGCAGGTAGGGTTGACGTAGAGTCGGTGGCAGATGATTTTCGGGTCGATGCCAGGCATATCTGACGGCGACCATGCGAACATATCTTTGTTATTCTGGAGGAAGGTGGTAAGCTCCTTCTTCTCGTCTGGGCTTAGGCGCGAGCCGATCCGGGCTGATCAAGATCCAAGGGTATTAACTTGACGTCTTCCTCAGGTTTCCATCCTTCTTCAGGAAAGACCTCTGGACGGATTTCCTCCGCTTGGTCCTGACGCTTTAATTGCTATAAGATAGCAAGATTCGGTTGTTCAACTTCCTTCAGATCTGTCTGGCTCACAGGGAGGAATTGCGCTTGTTTGCTTTTCTTTAGCCCTTGGGCGGAGCATTTCCTCGCCATTGCCTGATCGCTGTTGATTTGGCCGACACCGCCCCCAGGGATTGGGTACCGAATTTTCTGATGTGTGGCAGAGGTGATGGCGTTGATCTTGCCAATCCATGGCCTGCCCAGAATGCCGTTGTAGGGTGAGACCTCATCAATGACCATGAATGTTTGCAAGCAGACTACAGGTGAAGAATAGACGTCGAGGTCTATCGTGCCCACGGTAACCGTTGTTGCACCATTAAAGCCAGTCAGTGATCTGACTGATTTGTTGATTTTTGCCTCCAAGCCCATCTGCTGGATGACCGCCAGCTGTAGGATATTGGCTGCGCTATTGAAACCGATCAGCGATTTGGTTGATTTGTTGATTTTTGCCTCCAAGCCCATCTGCTGGATGACAGCCAGCTGCAGGATATTGGCTACGCTGCCCTCGTCTGCATGGATTCGGGAGATTTGAATGCTGATGACAAGGGCATCATTATGTGGCATGTCGAGGCCGATCAGATCTTTCTTTTGGAAGCCGATTATAGGGTCATTTTCTGCTGGTAGATGGCCAGTCGAGACTTGGAAGATCATAGCGGCCTGTTTGATCTTCCTCTTGCTGGTCAGCCCTGACTCCTTGGGGGCGGCTAGGCTTTGTGTAA